AAATATTATTAATTATAAAAATTAAAAATTAAAAATTTGATTTAGTAAAATAAATGAGTATTTTTTGTACGTTCTAAAAAAAAGAAAAATAATTCTTTTTCTTCTTTTTTTAAGGACAATCTGTTTAAGACTTAGTTTAATAGTGCTGGAGATTTTAAAAAAATTATTTTTAATTATGCTGAAGGAAGAAGTAACTGTTATAAAAAACAGTTGAGTGTTTAAAAAACTATAATTATAGTAGCTGTGTTGGTTCCAAAATCAGTGTAATAACGTTTAGTAAATTATGAGGTTGAATTGTTGTGTATAGTTAAAAATTACGACTATATTATATTATACTATAATATAATATATATAATTACAATATAATGTATATTTATTATTATATTTAATATAATACAATAAACCTATTATTAAATATATTATATAACTATGATATATAATATAATAATATTATTAAAATGATTAATATAATTACAATATTATAAAAAATATTATAATATTACATAAGAAATATTAATATTTCAGTTATAATATAATTAAAAATTATAACTATATTATAATATAATATAATATAATATATTATATTATATTAAATAAATATATTATAATTAATATATTATATAACCATAACGTGTGTAATACACTATAATATAAAATAACATTAGAATTATAAAATTATTATCATATTATTAAAATAATTATAATATTATTATAATATCATAATATATGATAAAATAATAATATTAAAGTTATTAATATAATTATGATATTATTTGTTATAATATTACTATTATATTATATTACGAGTATGAATTTTAAATTAAAAAGATTGTAAATTTTAAATTTAATTAGGGGTATTATAAAAGTTTCATTAATTGTATTATGCACAATCTAAAAGCTAAATTTGTCTTTATGCTGCTTCTGATTTTGGCTGTAGATTCTTAAAAAATTCTTCAAAAAGCACTTTTGAGAATATTTACCAAACACTAAAATCAACTTTTGCCACAAACAGAAACTGAATTTGAGAGGAAAAAATAATACCAAACTAAACTTAAATTCTAAGAACTTCTCTTTGGCCTTTTGGTCACTATTTTGAATTTTTTATTCATTTTAATTGCTTAATTGAACTATTTCTTACTTTAATTAAACAATGAATTGCATGTGGGGCCAATATACATATGCCAATTAGGGACGACATAAAAGATATATTTAAATTATAATTTTTAATTTTAATATTTTAAATTTAAATTTTTGTGAAAATAGAGTCAATAATTTAAATCTAGTATTGTTCATTTTATAATTTAATTTATATTGTTATAATATTTTCTTTTATAAAAATTTAAATTTAATTTTTTAATTATAATATTTTTTTATATACGTGTAACTCGATATATTAATTTAAATTGTGAAACAAATAAATTCTTAAAGTATATAAACAAACAGGCCATACGCTGTATTCTTGTTTTTGTTTCACTGCTACACCTACAGAAAAATAATGCTGAAATAAAAAGAAAATTAGAAATAATAATAATATAATAATAATAAAACGATCAACGACAAAGCGTAGGCGAAGGAAAAGAGGAACCTTTGCAATCCTGCAGGTATGGCTTTTTCATAGTCGTCTTCTTCTTCTTCTTCTCCTTCTTCTTCTTCTTCTTCTCATTGTCATTCACTGCGAAGCTTTCAATCTGTTTACCGTCACTTTGATCCATCACCACGAGGCTCAGAATTTCCATCTCTAATGAACTTTCCTCCTCCAATTCTCGATCTGTAAGCATTTCCGACCCCAAACTGCAGCTTATTCCTAGTTCAGTCCTCATTCGATTCTCAATCTCCATAATCCTTACTTTCAAGCTCTTCGGTTTTGTGTTAATTCTCCTTTTTCGATTGGTTTTTAGTGCTGATTTCCCGATAATCCTCCGTAATTCTTCGTTGTCTGAGCTTCAGGTCGTCATTTTCAGGGTTTTCGCAGCCTAATTGCCTAGATTGTGAGGAGTTTTTGTGTATTTGGAGCTTCGCGCGCCGGATCTAGATTTTTTTTACGGGAAAGAAAATTCCCCAGGAGTTTGATATTCTTTATTAGCTACTGTTCCTCAAATTCTGCCATTTTTTTTTCAAGTATGTGTCTCTCTGTTGGATAAAGACTCGTAAAGAGCTGAGTGGGACTCTTGTAAATTTCGCTGCATAAGCTCAGGAGAAGGCTCGAGATGGGGCTTTTTGATGGGTTGCCCGTCCCTCCAGATAAGGCAGTAAGTTGAATTAGCTAATCCCTTTGTCCCCATTTTCAATTAACTTATATATATGTGTGTGTGTGTGTGTGTGTGTGTCTCAAAGATATATATATATATATATATATATATTCATGCATATGCATATGTTCTTATAAAAAATGTATATGTGTGTGTGTGTCTCAAATATATATATATATATATATATATATTCATGTATATGCATATGTTCTTATAAAAAATGTATGTGTGTGTGTGTGTGATGTATGTATGTATATGCGTGTGGTGCTTGTGGGCAGATAGGCATATAGGTGGTTTAAATCTTCTTCCTGTAAATGACAGAACTCAATCATGAAACGGGTGGAAACTACAAAATAACTAAAAACCATCAGCTTATATGCATTAAGTTTTAGTAAGTAAACTGAACCCTCTGCATCACGTGATGATTAATCCAGGATTTGAGAGAAGAACTTTCACGAATAGATGAGAGCTGGGCTGCCGCGCGTTTTGATTCATTACCTCATGTTGTCCATATTTTGACGTCAAAAGATCGCGAAGCTGAAGTTCAATTTCTGAAGGAGCAAAGCGATGTTGTTGAAGAGGTTGTGGATGAAGTAGTACATGCTTATCACAGTGGCTTCAATAAAGCAATTCAAAATTATTCCCAGGTCTATCCATCCATGATTTACTGTAATTAATTTTTATGTTCCTGTCTTTTGAGTATTTTCTTTTGCTGTAGAGGCTGCCTCTCTTTCCCCTCTATGAAACAACGACTTGGTGTTGCATTTTGCTGTCCTTAATATCTATTTTCTTCCTTTCAGATCTTGCGTTTGTTCAGCGAATCTACAGAAAGTATTTCTGACTTAAAGGTTGATTTGGCTGAGGCTAAGAAGTGTCTTAGTGCTCGCAATAAGCAACTTCATCAGTTATGGTATCGGTCTGTTACGTTGCGGCATATAATTTCCCTATTAGACCAAATTGAGGGCATAGCCAAGGTTCGTCTACTCTTATTCTTGCTTCTTTCTAGATTAGAGCATTCTCTCTTTTTTGTCAATCATAATATTTAAAGTCTTGTCCATATTAACCTGTCGCATTGCTTTATTTATACTCAAACACAAGACATGTATAGCTGTACAAGAATCTGTTTTGTGCTAGCACTATTTCAACCACGATATTACCCTTATTAGTCTCATATTTGGGCTGTAATTATTCCTGAGGTTTATTTGCAGCATGCCTGCACCAATGGAGTGGAGCATACTTAATATGTTTTTATTTTTCTTTACCCAACTTGTACTAGCCCAGTTGATAAAGTTAGAGTGGGTTTAAGGGAGAGATTCCAGGCTCGAATCCTGGGAGCAGCTAGCTTGTATCAAAAAAATGTTTTTATTTTTCTTTAACCAGAGCAGTCACTTAATTAGTGGATAAAATGTTTCAGTTTAGATTTAGTTGCATTGATAAAAAGTTTCAGTCTGAAAACCTATTATCATGTCTGTTCAAAATGTCCCTCAGGTTCCAGCACGCATTGAGAAACTCATTGCTGAAAAGCAGTTTTATGCTGCAGTTCAATTGCATGTGCAGTCGACATTGATGCTTGAGCGAGAAGGACTTCAGACAGTAGGTTTTCCAACATCTTTCTTGTATACGATAGTTTGGCTAGAAAATGGATGCTATAAAATTACTTCCGAACAGTTAAATATTAACTATTTTGAAGCACACTGATTTTTCTTATTTACTTTACTGCAGTCAGTGCTGTCAAATGCGTATCTTTAATAGAGGTTTTGATTTATGAGCAACTACAACTTGTGCATGAACTGGTGTTATTATTCTGATGACCACTGTACTGTCAATTAATAATGCTTTGTAGCTCTCACATGTTCCTTCTACTATGATGATTTCTTGAGAGCATAAATGTGAGGTTTCGTAGAAACTTCTTGAGGTTTCATAGAAATAGAGAAATAGAAACTTCCCGATACATTTGTTTATTAGGTGGTTTTTCATATTGGCACCTTTATAGTTTATAGAATAGATAGGAATAGACTGTGTCAAGGAAACTTTTTAAGTGGTATGCATGACACAAAGTAATTCTTGCTATTATGAACCAGGTTGGTGCACTTCAAGATGTTCGCTCTGAGTTGACGAAGTTGAGAGGAGTTTTATTTTATAAAGTTTTGGAGGATTTGCATGCACATCTTTACAACAAGGGCGAATATAGGTACCAACTTTCCCTTACGATAGTGATGTTTTAATTTTATTTATTTGTTTTATCTCATATTTTGGGGTTGTGTCTGTGCTTGGATGGAAGTGAAGATAACCTGGTCTCACGTGGATCATTAACTAGGCGAAGAAACTGTACCTATCAGTCTCTTGGTTGTTCTATTTACATTAGTGTGTGTGCGCGTTCTCTCTTTTATGTGGGTTGATAGGATATTCAGCAAATCTACAATATTCAAGCCACTATTATATAATATGTATATATACATATATATCTAAAGCTAGTATAACAGATGCTTGCAATGGCTACAAATTTGTCGATTATTTTTTATTATGGTTCTTAACTTTCACAGAAACATTATTAACCTGCTCATTCTCTTGTTTCGTAATTTTGCTGAAGGCATATATTGCATTTTTAGCCCCAGCTGTATCTCCCGTGAGATTTTTCAATTGATCAATGTGGTGGAAAAATAATTCTTTTAGGTTTGTTATTAAATAGTACTGAGATGACTCTTTCTGCAGCTCAGTTTCCTCGGGCATCCATGAAAAGGATGACGAGGTACCAACCACTACTGCTGTTCCATTTTCAGTGAATAATACACAAAGTCTATCTCGAAGAACCAGGTTGTTAAAGGGTGACAGTCAAATTGGCATCCATGGAGATGGATCATATAGGGCGGCTTCTATTGATGGGGGGTGAGTTTGGAAAAAATTTAACTTCCCGAGGTTCTAGATATGCTTTTCATCCGGATTTCAATGATCTTTAAGTTGGGTAGGAATAGATAATTTGAAATATTTAAGATTACCGGTGCTTCTACCTGTTTGACAGTAGTCTTTGAATTATTTGTGCGCAATTAGCAACTATATTTTTCTTGAAAGCTAAGTAGTGGTCACTTCTTTATGAACAAATGCTGCAAATTTCTTTCACCAACTGAAACCTTTTCCTTTCCTTTCCTTTCTATTTCATTGTTGAATGTACAACGAGATCTTTCTGGTATAGATCTTGATTCTTGATCAAAAAGCTCAGAGTCTAAATTGACGTAGTTGACAAGCACAATGTGGGAAGAATCTTTGTATAGATATCTCTTATTGCTTTTCTTACGAGCTTTGAGAACCTGAATATGCTTTCAGTTCCTCTTTTGATGGCCATGACGAGGAGGGTGCGTCAGAACTACATGACGAAGTTGCCTCAGATGGACACGCAACATCCCTAAGGGTAAACGGCGGGGAGGGTTACTCAAAGGATGTCAAAACTGTACCTCGTCAATTGCCAACATGGCTTTCAAATTCCACTCCAGATGAATTTCTTGTATGCATTTTTGTCCTCACCATGTCTCATTTTACCTTTCTTATGAATTAGCCTCATCTTCAGGATTTTCATTTTAGAGATTATTCTTTGGTTTAGGAAACAATTAAAAAAAGTGATGCCCCACTTCATGTCAAGTACCTGCAGACCATGGTAGAGTGCCTTTGCATACTTGGAAAAGTTGCTGCCGCTGGTGCTATGATCTGGTTTGCCTTCTAATATTCTTTTTTTTTTTTCTTTTTAATTTCCACTTGAAGTATGGATATGAAAGAATGCGTGCAAAAAGATTCGGAAGCACTCCAACTATGCAGTTAGGGTTATCTGGATGCGATTATTGTTATCGAACTATAAATATAAATGGTCCTTTCAGTAAAGGATCTTCCATCTGACATACACGGACACACAAAAAAAAAGGGGTGGAAAGAAGTGCGAGCACCCCTACTAGCAAAAGAAGACTGCTTTTACCCTCTTTTTTTTTTTTTTTTTTTTTTTTTTTGTATGAGAGCATAATTATTGAGCTGCAAGTAGCTCTTGCCCTTTAACCGTAGAAATAAATAGAAGAACTTTCATTTTGGTGATGCTAAAAGACTCATGGGGATGAATAATTTTGATTTGTACTGTATATCCCTGTTGGAAGATACCTTACCTCATTATTTGATAATCAATTATTGGTCCATTATATGGGTCCAATGTCATTAACAAGTCTAATGAAATCTAGCTACATCAAGTGGTGACACATCCGTACTGGGACAATTAGGATTAGGGGTGTTCGCGGTCGGTTTGGGCCTTTTTTTTTTTTTTTTGTGTGTAGAAACCACCAACCAAACTAAAAATAATTTTTTCTTTTGGTCGGTTTAATGTTTTTGACAAAAACCAAATTGAACCAAATTACTCATAAGCGATTTGGGCGATTTGGTTTGAACGATTTGAGCTTAAGACTAAAAAAGTTTTCAATAATTCATAAAAATTATAAAATCGTTAATCCATAAAAATAAAAATAAGATTCAAGTTTACAATATAACTCAAAAATAGAAAATGTCTAAAAGTTCACAATTTAAAGTTTTAATACAAACCAACAAAAATATAATAGGGTGCATTTTATAAGTGTAGAACCTTTATTATGATCAATAAAATAAAAATAAATATAAAAAATGTTTTAAAAATAAAAAATTATATATGTATATTTTTGGGTGGATTAGTGGGCGGTTTGGGGAGTCCAAACCACAAACCAAACCGCCCAAAAAAATTAGATTAAAAAACATACCAAACCGTCCAATAATCCAAAAATAATTAACGATTTGGTTTAGTTTGATTTGGATTGGGCGGTTTTCGCTGTTTGGCGGATTTTTTGAACACCCCTAATTAGGATGTCTCATGATTTTTTTCCCTTGAATTGAAATTTCAATAATTTTTTATCATAAACTTGGCAGTTAAGCAAATGGCTAAAAATTTTTTTTTTTTGCTAAAACTGCGTGCCATATTTTGAACTTATATAAAATTCTTTGTTTCTTTCTCCTCCCCACAGCCAAAGGTTGCGACCTACAATTCATGAGACTATTACATCCAAGATTAAAGCACATGCCGAACTTGTTAATTCATCTAGATACGGTGTCGGTCAGGCTGCCCAAACTGCCACACCTGGTCTACATTTTATGAAGGGGCAGTTAGAAAGTTACCAGTTTCCAAAGCAGAAACGCCAAAATGGGATGTCTCTTGCTGGGACTCTATTGGCGGTAAGCCCTGTCTCACCTGTGATGGCTCCCTTGGGGAAAGCACAGGCTGCAGCAAAAGAACTTCTGGATTCAATTCTGGATACCGTTGCTCATATATTTGGTCTGACAGAATACTCCCTTTCTTTTTCCTCTTTATTGGGTTTTAAATGTTGACACTTGACATTAATTTCCTTACTATGAATGTTCAGAGAATCATGTTGTTGTTGGCGAGATTTTCGAATCAAAATCTACTCAGTTTGATACACCAAAGTCATTGCCAATCGATGTAAACTGGAATCCTGATTCTGAAGCATCTCAAGTTACTGGAGGCTACAGCCTTGGATTTTCCTTGACAGTGTTGCAGGTGACCGGTTTATAATCTTTTGGTGATTAGTTGCTTGGAAGTATTCAATTTCTCAAACATATTGTACTCTTGAACAATTGCACATACATAATAGTTGATAGACCTCTTATTGACCTTTTGTTAATTTTTTTTTTAATAAAATGTGCTGAAGAGCGAGTGCCAACAACTCATTTGTGAGATTCTGCGAGCGACTCCTGAAGCTGCATCTGCTGACGCTGCTGTACAAACAGCTAGACTTGCAAGCAAGGTTCCTTCCAAAGAAAAGAGGTATGTAAACTTCCTTGCAACCAACCCATTTAGCATGCCTCATCAATTTCTCTGGCATGACCACTCCACTTTCTCTTCAGAATAATGTTATTTTGATGCTAATTATTACAGGGATGGAGCGGAAGAAGGTCTCACCTTTGCTTTTCGCTTTACGGATGCTACTATTTCAATTCCCAACGAGGGTATGCTTCATTCTTTTCTCCTGAGTGTAAAACTACAAAACGTGCCGTCACTTCCACAAAAGTTTGTCTTTATTTAGTGATTTGGGTTCTAATTTTTCTGTTTTCAATGTGTTTCTGATTTCATTTTCAAGGTTTTGGTTGGAATATTTAGCTGATGGTCGTCTCTTTTTTCCTCTGTTTCTTGCTTTCTTGCTTTTTTTCTTTTTTTTTTTTTTCAATTTTCGACGTGTTTCTGTTTTACTTTTTCAAGGTTTTGGTTGGAATATATAGCTTATGGTTGTCTATACCTTTTCCTGCTGCTTCTTAATTTTTCTGTTTCTCGACGTGTTTCTGATTTCGTTTTCAAGGTTTTGGTTCGAATATTTAGCTAATGGTTGTCCGTACCTTTTCATTTCGGGTAGACCTTAAAAGATATCTATAAATAAGACCTCGACTTTGTTGAAATCTTATTAAGTTCGAAATCTTATAAGTTGAGCTGAACAACCCTAGGCTCTACTCGCGTGGCTTGATTGTGCTCCTATCTGCTATTTGTGGCATCTAACATATTCATAGGCTTAAAATTTTCATTTGATTTTCCTTTTTCTTCGATGAGGCCACTTTTCATTTTCCTTTGAATACTGAACTTGTTGAACTCTTAATATATTTTTTTATATGCTGCTATACTCTACTATTATTTTTGGTCATTAACGTTTCATGTGGTTCTCATTCTCCATTCTCCAGGGGTTGATCTGATTCGCCAAGGCTGGAGTAGGCGAGGTCCAAATGTTCTACAAGAAGGTTATGGGTCTGCAGCTGTCCTCCCTGAGCAAGGCATATATCTTGCAGCATCTATATACCGGCCTGTTCTCCAGGTTTTAGACCATTCTTTGTCCATTCTTGTGACATAAATTTTACATGGTGGATTCTCTTATTTGTTTATTCACTTATTTATATTTGCATTTTCTGATTCTATGTGCTGCAGTTCACCGATAAAGTTGCTTCCTTGCTCCCAAAGAAGTATTCCCAGCTAGGGTAAGCTTGGTACCATGTTACTCTTTCCACTATATGTGAATCTACATTTGTATTTCCCCCCTTTTAGCAGACATTGTTTTCTCTTTTGCGGCATAGTTGGGAATGCAGTATAGAAGTTTAATATTTTCTCTACTTTCATTACTTATGTAGCCAATAAATTTTTACCATTAAATCTTGACATTGCAGGAATGATGGCTTACTAGCATTTGTGGAGAACTTTGTAAAGGACCTCTTTTTACCAACAATGTTCGTAGACTACAGAAAAAGCGTACAGCAGGCTATATCAAGCAAGTTCTATAACTACATAATACCACTAGCATTTTTTTTTAATAATAACGAACTATAGCAATTATTTGAAAATTATAGCATTAACCCACTTATCAAATAACTTAATCAACTGAAATTTCAAATATGAGTTTAAATATCACTTTGATAGCTTTATGCTTCAATTCAAGGTCCAGTAAAACAGGCAGGGAAATTGAAATGTTTGAAGGATGGTTGTAAAAAAGCCTAAATACATTTAAACTGTTTAAAAATATAGGGAATTGGTTCTTTGATTGTCCTATATTGCATTCCTCCTGTACGGTAACCTGATTTAATTTGTTGGCATTCTTTTAGGTCCAGCTGCATTCCGGCCTCGAGCACATACTGCTGCAACTTACACTCCATCGGTTGAGAAGGGACGTCCTGTCTTACAGGGACTTCTTGCAATAGATTTCTTAGCAAAGGAGGTAAGTTTTTGCTTTTACTGCTGCTTTAGAGTGTTTGTTTGTTTGTTTTTTTTTTTTTTTTTTTTGGCTGAAATTTAGTTTTCTTTTGTTGTCATCACAAGTTAACTTAAACAGTCAGTTATGAGGTCTTTTCTCTCCCCTTTACATTTTTTGGACTGTTGTTTAAATTTACAATCAAGATTTCTTTTCTGAATGAATTTTCTTTTAGTTGTCTAATATAAAGCAATTATTTAAATTAGGTGCTTGGTTGGGCTCAGGCAATGCCTAAATTTGCTGGCGATCTTGTGAAATATGTGCAAACTTTTCTGGAGCGAACATATGAAAGATGTCGGACTTCATACATGGAGGCAAGGATGTTTACCATTTCTCATTAACACGCATTTTCAGTGAACTTCCCGTTTATTTTATTTATTTTCAATTATTATGTTATTGCTCTGTCTTTTCATGTGTTATTTTGTTTGTGCTCTCTAGCACATGGTGTAATAGTTTATGCTGGTCAAAGTCTGTAATAAGCTTCGTTCTAACTTTTGACCCCAATTTTTTCCTAGTTCCCAGGGGGATGTGCAATTTAATCTTAATCTAATCACTGATCATAACATTCCTTATGACCAATTGGTTTAAACATATATGATCATTAGTAGTTCTTAAATGTGCAGTTAACACATTACTGCATGACTGGCATGACTTTTTTTTTTTTTTTTCAACACATTATTGCAAGACTTTGAAACATCAAATTTCCTTGTTTTGCAAATGATGTATAACCAGAATTTTAATTTGTCACTTGTTGCAATAATAAACTGAGTTAAATCTTGATCTTTAATGCCAGGTGCATGTCAGTGTCACTACGTTTTTCTATCATTCACTGACTCTTTATTTTGGGTCTTTTTGCCTCTTTTTCAGGCAGTTCTTGAAAAGCAGAGTTATATGCTTATTGGGAGGCATGATATTGAGAAATTGATGCGACTTGATCCAGCAAGTGCATGTTTACCAAATGCAGTTAGCCAGTTAAACATTAACAATCACCCCACAGATGCTGAAACAGTTGAGTTTGAATCAGAACTATGCGATTTATTATTGAATTTGCGGCCTATTAAGCAGGTATTTTAATTGCTATACCATATTTCAAGTACACGTCATAATTGGGTTCTATTCACCATTTTTATTTATCCCTTTTTACCAAGGATGTTGATTTTGCTCCTTGAGATCTTACTGGAGCCTGGCTGATGAACTCTTTTTGCTATATTGAGCTACCTACTATATAGATAGATATCAAGATTATGCATTAAGCCCTTTTTTTTTTTTCCTTTTCTTAACTTTGTCATTTAGGAGAATCTAATTCGTGACGATAACAAACTTATTTTGCTTGCATCCCTTAGCGATTCATTGGAGTATGTTGCAGACTCTATTGAAAGGCAAGTTCTCTCATCTGGTTGAACCTCCAATTTTTCTTTCAGTTTTCTTCTGTGAACTTATCATCTGCAAGTAAAGAGGGCTTAGTATGAGACTTTGAGCAACAACGTAGAGGTGTTTCAAATTGCAGACTTTATATGTTTTACAGATGCTAGTAGTTTGTCTCGTATTCTGCCATGATTATTTTGGCTGCATTTGCATCCTAGCATGGTCATTGTGAGAACAACCCATAGTTATCTCTCTACAAGTGCAATGCAGTATTTGGCTCCGACTTTTTTGCGACTTGTGTTTTATGGGTGAAAGCATTACGTTTTCAGACGTTTGTTCTTGCACTCATAATGGGATATCCCAATCACGATGTATTTTTTTTACCAATTGGGACGGCTTATAATAGTTTTACATGCAACACACATTCAACTTACTAAATCGGAGACTTGCAAGAATATTAGAACAAAAGGTACTCCTATTACATCAAAGAATAAAATGTATTATAGTGCTTCAGTCTAACTGAACATATCAGGGTATCAGTCCTTTGAAATGAAAGCTTTTGAAGATGCCAAAGATGTACCTTTTCCCAAACGAAACAATGACATTTCTTCTCATCAGAAATTAGTAATTCTACTTGAATTGTTGAATTTTGTTCCCGCGTTATATACGAGACAATACCATCTTTGTTGTTTTCCTGGTAGTATTATGTTCTGCTTGGGAGTGCACTGGTGTTTGCATAATATCCAAACTTACACAATCAAGTATCTTCTAGCATTGTGTCAAGTTTTTGATTTAATTGGTGTTTCAACTTCCTGGGAAAACTTTCATACATCTTAAAGCTAGTTGTTGTCCCGAAAATCTTATCTAGCAACTTATGATTAATTTTATGAAGCATACCATGCATTTAACAGGCTTGGACAGGCAACCACAAAAGTTCCCAGTCTAGTAGAAGAGAGTGGCAAGAAAAATCATTCTCAATCAAGCACTACACCCTCTAGGGATCTGGCATCATTTGCAGACGAGTATAGGAAATTGGCAGTTGACTGCCTTAAAGTTTTGCGTGTTGAGATGCAACTTGAGACAATTTTCCACATGCAGGTCTGTGAGACATGATTTATGCACAGTGTCTTATCTGAGAGTGATATGTATATTTCCTTAACAACTTTCTGAGCCAGCTTATTTTAACAGGAAATGACAACTAGGGAGTATCTGGAGGACCAAGATGCAGAAGAGCCAGATGGCTTCATTATTTCACTCACCGCGCAGGTAAGCATATTCAACTCCTGATTGAAAATACCTATTTTGGTTTATTCAGTAACGAATAATAAGATATACTAAATAATGGAAACATGCAAAGCCTATGCAAACTATTTACTTGTAAGCAAAGGATGATTGTTTGAGGATGATTCTAAATGTATAATGCTCTGTTCTTCAATTCCGCTGGAAGTCATTTCACAAGTATGGTAGTCTTGTATACATAAAAGTGGCCATCATATTCTGTTACAGATAATGCGTAGGGACGAGGAAATGGCACCTTTTGTTGCGGGAGTAAAACGTAATTACATATTTGGGGGAATTTGCAGCATTGCAGCAAATGCATCCATGACGGTGGGCGTGCATTTCATTTCTCTTCAAAGTTGGATTTAGATGCATGCATTTCATTTTTCTCTTCAAATTTGGATTTAGATGCATGCATTTCATTTTTCTCTTCAAATTTGGATTTATTTTGTTTTTTCTGCGATTTTTATTTTTCTTGCGTAATTTTCGGATTATAAAATTTAACAAACTTTTGTTTGCGCTTAATTTACTCCTCTTTGCTACTAATAAGCGTGATTTACTCTCTTAGGCTTTGGCTGATATGAAATCCATCAATCTTTTCGGGGTGCAGCAGATATGCCGAAATTCAATTGCGTTGGAACAGGTAGATTTTATTTCATCTCCCAGTACCTTGAGTCTTCATTGATTAGCTGCTTGTTCGGGGGAAAATTTCTATTCCTGTCTTTCCTTCCATACAAATATAATATTGAAAGCAAGGTTTAGGACCCCTAATGTTGGCTAGTATCTTTGGGGCTGAGTTGTTACATGAGCACAATTGGAGACCCGCTACATTTTGTAGAAGCGTAGCCAGAGAATTCCCTGGACTACTTAAAAGCTGCTCACAGATGAAAAGGAACCTGCTCGGCTTATGGGAATCTACCATCTACCTGCTTATATTTCATATGCTTTAAAGCCACCAAATGCAGCTCCAGTTGGTTCTTGGCAGCTGGTGTGCAGAACCATTACATTAGTGGGTTCAGCTTTATAGGGACAAGTTTCAAATATTTCCAAGCTAATTCATAAAACTTGCACCAAATCTTTGATACTATGCTCTCTGTTTCTTCTTTTGGTTTGTGGATGGATGTCATATTTTATGGTCACTATTGGCGTTGCAGGCGCTAGCAGCCATGCCGTCAATTAATAGTGAAGCGGTGCAGCAGAGATTAGATCATGTTCGAACTTACTACGAACTTCTGAACATGCCATACGAGGCAAGTTATTGGAACTTATGACGCCCTTTGTATCATTACTATATTTTTCCATCTTCAAATGGCAATCTCACGCTCCCTTTTGCAGGCCTTGCTTGCATTCATCACAGAGCATGAGCACTTGTTCACAGCTGCAGAGTTAGTCAACACGACTTTTTTTTTTTTTTTTTTTTTTTTTTTTTTTTTTTTCTTTTTTTTCAGGATCTAGTCAGAGGAAATTGTTTTTTTTTGTTTGAATAATGTGCTAAATTCTGTTTTTAAGGTATGCTAATCTTCTAAAGGTCCAAGTTCCGGGAAGAGAGATTCCTGCTGATGCAAAAAATGATGCACAAAGCCGTGTCTTGTAGATTTTATCCCGTTAGCATTATGTTCTGCGTTTGAGTGCCAAGAACAAAGGATTCCATCATTCTGCATGTGGTGCTTTCCTGTATGTAAGTTTATAAGCTTTTCTCAAAATTGGTTGAAGCATCAATCTGACGCAGATTGTATTTTCGGCATCATCTCTGTATCACATTACACCACGTGGTGTGAAGTTTTTGTCGCATTTTATTCTGATGAGGTCGTTATTGTAGTAGTAGTTCTCTTATTATTCTTGTTATAATTTGTTCTTGTGCAATATCAATTTTGTTCATTCGTGTTTGCAGAAAAAAGAACTATGGCTTTTAGCTTTTGTGAGAATAGAGAAATGTAATTTAAATTTTTCATGCTTATTATTATTATTTATTGGTTCTCATCTCACATGGATATGACTTTTGGTCAACAAATTTGACTATTTTGTCATATTTTTTTTAGCCTGTGAAATCTCTCCAACTCTCATCGATCATTCAGTTCGTTAAATCTCATATCGTCGCGTGTCCTAATTGTATGTATGGTAAAATTGTGTTGGTTTGTAAATTTTACTTGGTTACCTCCACAGGCTCTTTTAACGATGATTATATAGGGAAAAAGTTTGTTCATTTTATTGTAATATGGAATATACATATTATGTTATTATTTATCAAAAAGAAAAAAAAAAAAGTTTACAGTACCGAAAAGTAGGACAAAATATATCTCCGCTACTTAGTACTGAGTATCCTTAAGATAGTAGACTTTTGGATTAATTACAAAAATTCTACTTAAACTATGTATCTTCTAATACTTTGCCTTTCCGACATTTGTCCCCTCTAAATAATGAAGTGTTAACAAAAAAAAATTCTCTCCGAAAATTGATATTTAATTTGTTATTTTAGGGATATTTTCATAACTCTATGACTTAAAATATAATTTGAAATTAAAACTAATTTAAATTTAAACTTTTAACTATGATATATACATTATTAATTAAAAATAAGTTAAAATTTAATGATTTTTTTTACAGAATAAAAAAATTATGAAGACTTTTTTTGGATATTCTTTTTATTGTAAAAATAACCAAATGAAAAATAAGAAACTTTTTTTTTTCAAAGAAAAAAGGAACTATAATTGTGAGATTTCTTAACGGATAGGGTGATTTTGTTAACATTTCATTATTCAAGGATAACGGATGTTATGTCTTTAAGATTGGGGGACAAAGTGTTACAAGAGGTATAGTTCGGAAGGAATTCTATAATTAATCTTAGACTTTTATATAGCTATCCATTGTAATAAAAAGGGAAAAGAAGACAAATACCTCTTAATTTTAATTAATATCTTTTTTTTTTTGTCAAGTAACTATATCAGTCAAAATAATATTAATCAAGCGTAATGGGTAAAAATTCAGATTCATATATTCCAAGAATAAGTTTGACAATTTTCTCTAATATATAAAAATGTATTACATATAAGAATTAGCTCATCTCTTTAATCCAAATAATAATAAAATGAACCTCATAATATGGATAATTTTATTTCAATTTGACAAAAAAGAGAATAAATAAATATTTTTCTTCGTCACAAAACAAGTAGCATATAACAGATAATCACATTCTAACTAAATTGGCACCCAACAATCTAACTCATTAATAACATAACAAAGGGTTAACCTGTATAAAATAACTACAAACAAGATGAAACTAACATTCGGCCAAATTTTTTTTTCTTTTTTTGTTTAAATTTATATCAACATTTTCTTTGGCACTGTTACTTTCTTAGTTGTCATTCCTGGAATCTAAAAGTGTTATGCTATCTTATATCTTTCATTCCATGATAAGCTGATGTTTCGAATATTTATTTTACGCATATATTATCTCTGTTTGCTCACATTATGCGAAATTTCAATCTCTATTCTGTATACAGGGTGGAAATCTACGTATGTCTAGGCAAATTGAAGAAATGCCCTTACGCAATCTGGAAAAGGATCTTAACCTGTAGATGTTCTTTGCAGGAGCATAGTCATTGTTCATAGAAACCCTTGCTTGTAGTAAGTAGCACTGTTCATATCATTTTTATTTTTATTATTTTTTTGGGCTGTAAATAAAGAAGCATACTTGCTTGACATTCTTTCTTAAATGAACAATAACGAAATGATGGTTTTCAACACAGCTTAATTATCCAATTACTGTATACTTGTTTGTTTGTGACTATGTTTACTAAAATTTTCTCAACAAGTCCTAAATTAGTAGTAGACTCTGAAATATGAAAATTATGGTGTTATTGATAAGGATTTTGCTAGTCTACCATTCAGGTAACTATTACATTTTTGTTTAGCAGAGAATTATACTTCAATGGAGTTAATATCTCAGGTTTAATCAAAGGGCATAGAAAACGTTGGGCAAATATAGCTAACTTGTACTCTAATAATGAACTGATTTGCATATGCAAGACTATTGATTGACTATACTTATTTTTTTACCTTGTTGAAACGCCATTAACTAAAGAATCAGAATTCTTACATACGAAATCATCAGTATAATCACAAGACAACAAAAATCAAGATGGCATGAATCTTGATTTTTACCCTCTATTCTTAATTGATTAATACATTTTTAATCAAATATAATATTAGTTAAAGGGGAATTGTTAAAAATGCTATCAATAAAGTAACACTATTTTCTTTATGCCACTGTTGTTAAATTTATCTTATACCACTAATAAACTACATGTTATCTTTTTGTAACACGCAAATTACCTTTCGTAACCTGCAAGTTATTTTTGGTAACCTATAAGTTATAACTTTGTATCCTGCACGTTATTACTATAGTTGCATCAAAATTTTGTAAGTGACATAAATAATAAAGTTGGAATAAACAATGGTTTAAGTTTAAAGTTTTCTCTTAGTCAAAAGGATATTAATTAAGAATAACAATGATAAAATATAAACTCTCACATAAGTGCATAATTCTTTATATTATTCATTGAATTTCTCCATATTTTCTTCGTTTGATTCTTGAAGTTTTAGAGTTTTATTAGTATTCGTGTTTTGTAGGTATTTGGAATCAAAAGATTGAAGTAAAAATCATTAGCATGGAGTCAGACGTGTTTTGGACTTTTCGGAATCAATTTAATGCTAAAAATAATGAAATCATGCAAGGAATGAAGATTGGGTGCCACAGCGCCATGAAGTAGTGCTGCAGGGTCACCAGCACGCACAAAGCCGCTAATGGCAGAGCCACCAGCGTCTTGGTGCCAAACCAGCAGCGCTGCAGCTCTCCCATAGTGATGCGGCGCCAGCACAGCACCTGATGTGCGTGCAGATTTCCGCCAAAATTTCAGCGTTGCGGCACTACCAACCCAGCGCTGCACAGCTTCGACGCGTATAATTCCGTAATTTCCAAGCCAAATTGACCCGAACTAACCCTATTTTGACTTCCAATTGAAAATCTATAAATAGGCAACTTAAAGGCTGATTAGAGAAGCCTTTCCCATTATTTTCAAGAGATGAAGAAAAAGAGAAGATTCATGAAGATTTTTCTAGTTCTTTCATCCCTTCTCTTTTCTTTAGATTTTATTTTATTTTTAATTATGTTAGCTTAGTTTTTATTTCGGTTGAGGGTGATTTCAAAACCCTAGACATGGATTTGTGATTGAATAATTTGATGTTATTTTCTAATTTTCTATTGAGATTGTTTATATTCTTCTAATTTTATTGTTCATGATTATTTTCTTTTTTTGTTTGGGTGACCAACTAAATATGATTTGAGAATATTTTATTGTTAGATTAATTGTCTTGATTTAGCGAATTGTGGTCAATAATTGCGGGGAATTGAATCTAGAGAGCTTGCACTAGGTTGTTTGAGAGAAAGGAATTAAGTGAAAAGCTTATTTTGCTTAACAACGAACTAAGAAAAGATTGGAATAACAAAGCTTATTGCTATCTACAATTGGTAGTTTTGATAGAAAATTCAAGATAATATTATATTTTTATTATGATTTCATTATCTAGCGGTAGAGATTGATCCTTTGACCATTGTTTTATTATTATTGCCTTCTTCTTTATTTATTTCAAGTTTTATTTTCTTTTATTCTATTTAGTTTAGTTTAGTATTCTAAACCCCCTTATTTATTTTCTTTCCTGAGATTAATAACTTATTGATAAAACTCAATTTTCTGTGAGAACGACCCTTACTCAACCACTATACTCACTGTCATCATATCTTAATAAAGTTTATAAATTTAATATTATCGAGAAAAATCATCAATACTGTGAGAGTAACTCTTATAATTTTATCTAAAATTTATTATTAAATAGATACAATTTGAAGTACAAAGGGTCTAAAAAGAAGAGACAATCTTTCATCTTTCATCTTATCTTTCACATATACTAACATTGCGTTTGGTTCAAAGATTCATGATATGGTTCAAGTCATAGTTCGTGACTCGCTGCAGTATTCTCTCACAAAAAATACACGTAAATCGAATCATGATTCTGAATCTATCAACCAAACGTCCTCGTCAATTCATTTCTTAGGGCGAGCGGCCAAAAGGGATGAAACATTTTACGCGTTTCAGCTTTTCTTTTTTGACATTTTTTTTTAACTTTTCCTTTCTTTTATTTTTACATTCTATAGTTTTTTATTTACATCTTTTTAGTCTTTTTTTATTCTCTCTGTTCTTTCTTTTTTCTTTTTATTTGCTCTACCCTAATATTTTGTATATTTTCAGATCCACTTCACTAAATTTTTATTTCACATATACTAATGTTAATTTGTATCTTTGGACCAGTGACCGAAATGGATAGTTTTGACTTTTCTTTTTTTTTTTTCTTTTCCTTTCTTTTATTTTTATATACTATAATTTTTTATTTACATCTTTTTAGTCTTTTTTTTATTCTTACTTTTCTTTCCTTTTTTTATCTGCTCTACCCTAATATTTTGTATATTTTCAAATCAATTTCACTAAATTTTTAATTCTAATTTATATGTACTATAGTAAAATAAAAAAAAATAAAAAAGATTAATCTTCTTCACTGCTTAATGACTCAGCAAATCCCGCACCTCAAAATTATAGTTCCTTTTTTTTTTTTTTTTTTTTTTTTTTTGAAAACATGGTTTCTTAAACTGTGAAGTTACTAAAATACCTTCAAAGGTAATGTCAATTTCCCTTGAAAATATAACAAAAAGGGTTCTTTGGTTAATATTTTATTGTTTTACGTTTTAAAAGAGTACAATGAGTATAATTCAGAGAAGTTTTTTGTAATTAATCCTAAACAAAATTAGTTAACAAAACCCAAACTCAAATATCCCAATTTCCATCTCAGTTGTCGATAAATACCAAAATATCTCAATCTTAAAAATCCCATCTTTCTAGTGAACGTATT